CAATCCGTCGGCGGCGGGGAATGGGCCCTGGCCCCCGGGGGAACTTGGCAAGCCTAGTGAGGTGGAAGAAAGTCAGAACTGGCTATTTTCTTTGGGGAAGCAGAAAATGGGCCCCTCATTAGGTGCCACATTGAGAACTCTTCCTTACCCTCATAGAGGCCAGGATGGTAGTGTGAAGAGGGTGGAGATCACTCACAAGTGCTGTTATTTATGTCCCACGTCTGTGCTCCCCAGACGTATGTGAGGAATCCTAGGTTGAACAGTGACGGAAATGCTCTTACTTGTCCTTTTGGCCATTCCTCCAGGAGGCTGACCTGAAGCGGACGGTGGATGAGAGCTGCCGGATTCAGCGGGGCTATGGGCATTACTTCGACCTCTCCTTGGTCAACGACAACATGGAGCGGACATTCCAGCAGCTGCAGCAGGCCTTGGAGAAGCTGCACAGCGAACCGCAGTGGGTTCCCGTCAGCTGGGTGTACTAGAGGGGAGTTCCTGCTTCCTTCCCTCAGCCCCCCAGCCTTGGGAGGCCTTGGCTTTCCCCATCTCCCCACTGGGCCAAGGAACCCGGACTTCTCCCCTGATCCCCAGCAAGTCTCCTACGTGGCAACCTGTTCCTCTTTCAACACGGGCTCCTAGAGGTCCAGCCAATCCCACTGGAGCAGAGTTGGCTTTATTAGATTTTTCTTTCTTTTTCAAGGACGGTGCTTCCTGAGTCCATTCCAGAAAACCTCCAGCTCACCAAGAACTGTTTTCTACGACTGCCACAGATAGGCGGATGTTCTCTGTTTACTCCCCCAACACAAACACAGGAAGTCCTTTCATGGCGAATCGAGCAAGCAGGGCTACCCAATACCCACAATGCCTTGCAACATCTCGTTGGGATGATTTTGGTTCTTGACTGGTCCAAAGTCAGATGGGGTGGGAAAGACAGCATCTCTCTGGCCACAGCTAACTCACTGCCAAAAAAAACCCCTCTGCTTTATCGATGGACTCGCTCTGGAGGTTGCCAAAAGAACTGCTGGGCAGTGTTTATTTTCCCACTAAAAAAATTGAAAGGAAAAAAAAAAGCCTTGCCTCCACGTAGGCTCGGTCCTTGCAATACCACTGCAACATCTTTTTTTGTTTTGTACTGGAAACTAGGGGCGCATCCTTACAAAGCATGTGCGCCCTTGAGAATGGAAATAGGACAGGATGACCTTCTGGTAGGAGCTTTGGTCTGGACTCTAAAGCCAATGGCTATGATCCTCGGTCACCCATGCACTTTGACAGCAAATAGCTCCCTTAGCCTCGTTTTTTCCGTCACTATAATGGGTCTAATTTTTAAATAATTTATTTACTCCGTATTTTGCAAAGGTGAATCCTTTGTAGTAGAGGAAGCTGTTTGTCATTTAGGACTGGAAGTCACATATGGGCAGGTCTGCGGTTTGGGTAAGGTGCTGCCAGGTTCCAGGCTGGGAAGGCTGGCAGGGAAAGAAACCGCAATGAGTTTAATTCTCCCATCCAGTCCCTTGCTAATATCCCCTGCCTAGTACTGGAAGGGGCTGACCTTTGTTTATGTGATCTCCACACCCCTGTTTCCTCGTTACCTATCTGATATCCTCCCTACTGGATCACATGGCCTCAAAATTAGGGTTGCCAACCTCCAGGTGGGACCAGGCGAAAGAGATCAGTCCCCCTGGAGAAAAGGCTGCTTTGGAGGATGGAGTCTACAGTATTATACCCCACTGAAGTCCATCCCCTCCCCTCCCTTCCCAAGCCCAGCCCTCCCCAGATTCCACTCCCAAATCTCCAGGAATTCCCCACTACAGAGTTGGCAACCCTATTCCAGATGCATTCCATTGGGTTGATGGAGGGGGGGCGTGGCCTATAGTCTCTTTCAATTTTGGCGTTCCTTGCAGCGGTTCCAGATTCCAGAGTTCTGCCTTCGCCTGCCAGGACCAAGGATCACTACCTCACATACTATGGCAGCTCTTAATGGCAGCAGATGCCGCCACTGCAGGGCGAGGGCAGATCCCTGGACTCAGGTTTTCACTGCAGGATAAAGAAAGGAGGGGGTCCCCTTGGAAGGGTTCCCCACAAATCTGTTTCCCATTCATTTTAAAGGTAAAGGTTCCCTTGCTCGAAAGCCAGTCGAGTCCGACTCTAGGGTTGCGGTGCTCATCTCCGTTTCAAAGCCGAAGAGCCAGCGCTGTCCGAAGACATTTTCCGTGGTCATGTGGCCGGCATGATTAAAGACCAAGGCGCACGGAACGCTGTTACCTTCCCACCGAACTGGTACCTATTTATCTACTTGCAATTTCTTGCTTTCGAACTGCTAGGTTGGCAGGAGCTGGGACTAGAGACGGGAGCTCACTCCGTCATGTGGCACACTCTGGTCTCGAACTGCTGAACTCCTGACCTTCCACAGCCTGCAGTTCAGCGTCTTAACCACTTAAAAAGCCCAGTCCTGTTGTTGTTAGATGCTCATCAGCATGATGGTGGCTTTGGGGGAAAGCGTTGGGTTTGGGATGTTTCAGGTACCAGACAGCGTAATACAAGACAAAGCCCCCAGTGATCATTTTTAGATCTGTCCCCCGCCCCTCCCAGTTTCTTGGAACCCAAGCGTTCCTTGCTGCAGAGATCTGAATAGCAATAACGCCATCTGCTGGTAGGCACACAGGCAAGCACATGGCACCCTGTTCCAATAACTCTAAAATGCACTTTGTACAAAACCGGGAGTGTGGGGGGGGGGGGCTAATGGTTCAGTGAGCTGTGAGTGGTCACTACTGGGAAAGGTCCCCCTCCCCCACAGAAAGCTTTTGTGTTTTCCTGGGATTCTTGGGGGGGGGGGAGCACTTCAGGCTCCTGCCGACTAGAAGGAGCATCCCACTGCTGCAATTCAGGGATATGTCATTGAACCCAACACCACCCTGCCTCAGAAGTTATTACTGTCCTAGGCTCACCCACTAGGATTGCCAACCTCCAGGTGGGGCCTGGAGGTCTCCCAGAATCACAGCCTGAACTCCAGATGACTGTCTTCTGGCAACTACCGCCGGGGTTCTCAGAGTCAGATAGCACAATCCAAAGGCAAAGTCAGAAGGCAGTCCAAGGGCAAGTTGTGTATTCCAGAGGCAGAGGGTCCCACATTCAATCTCCAGTATCTCCAGTTAAAAGATCCGGCAGTAGGGGATGTGAAAGGCCTCTGCCTGAGACCCCGGAGAGCTGCTGCCAGTCTGAGTAGACAATACCGACTTTGATGGACCAAGGGTCTGGTTCAGTGTAAGGCAGGTCCGTGTGTTCGTGTGAATTATTGGTTTCTCCTGGCATTCCCTCGACAGAGGAGGCCTTGGGCTGCCAAAGGGGCACTCCTGCACCCAGGTCAGACCTCAGCCCTTGCCATTCACTTTCTGTGCTCCTGGGGTCCTTCAGGAAACTCTAGTGGGGCTGGTGGTGGGCGGATCCATGCTGGGATATCCTGGCTTGAGGGCTCCGTTGGATCAGGGGGTGTCCCAGCATTGGCTCAGGGTTCCTTCAGGGAGGCCCTGAGAAACTGACCTCACAGGACGGATCTGCCAGGGTGGGGCTCGGGGACTGGTTGTCTTCCTCCTCCCATAAGGACTCATCCTCCCATGCAGTCTGTGACAGACAGAGATTGGCTCCCCTGGAGGAAATGGCTGGTATTTAAGGTGGACTCTATGGCATTATACCCCACTGGGCTCTACCCCCAAACTTTCCAAGGATTTTCCAACCCAGAACTGGTAACCCTAAACTGGGATGAGGAGGAAATCTTTTTATTTTCTGAAATGTGGCTTGGCTGTTGCATGATAGGCCATGAGATCCCTTGAAGAGAGTCCACATCCTGTAATGTTGTTGTTTGCAAGGGGAAAGGGGGGGCGGGTGGTGGTCCACAGGGTGTGCACTCGTTCCCTTCCCTTGTCTTTTCCAAAGCTGAATTGCTTCATTGAATTATTTTTTGGGATCCTCAAATCTTGCATGTTATCAGGATTTTGGTTATCATTGTATTTCAGGGCTGCTGGCATTGGGGTTCCCCTGTTTTTAGGGGCCTGGATCTGCCGGTGGCCACTTGGCTGGTGGGGGAAACCCCACCCCTGAACAGGGACATCACTGTGCAACATCCCCAATGCAATGATGTCACCCAGAAGTGATGTCATAGTGTTGGCGACCTTGGGGGGATGATGCTCTAGGTTTGGGGCAAACTCTATGGTTTTGAAGGCAAAAAACCCATAGAGTTTTACCCAAAACCTAGAGCGTCACCCCCCAATGGTGGTGATGTGATAGCGTCACTTCTGTGTTATGTCATTGCACCATGCACTTTGCACACACGGCAGAACATCCCAGACAGGATCCGGGAACCCCCCAGCCAGGTAGAACCCAGCACGACAACCCTAGATGAGATTTTGAAACAAGGTCTTTGATTTTATTTTTTATTATTATTATTATTTTGCCCATTGCAGTATGCCTTGGGGTAGCAGATGATGCCCCGAGCTGAATACGGGATGGGGCGGGATATAAATCCCAAAAATAAATAATAAAAAATAAAATAAATTTTGCTGGGATGTCCTTTTTTCAAGCAATGCAGAAATTCATGTGACACGTGGAATCCAAGGACAGGTCCCTAGCTTCATTGCCCTCCCCACTGTCTCTTGGCTCTGATCTTATTCCCCTCGATTTCTACCACAAACAGAGGCACTCATGCAAGGGATTATTTCCAGTGGCACATGTGGAAATACTCGATAGATGGATGACTATAGGGTCCCTGTACCTTCCCTAGTGGCATAGAAGAGAGGATCTGGACAAGTGATGTTTCCCCGTTCCCTATACCACTCACATTAAAGAACTGTACGTGCCACAGTTCCCTCTTCGGCATTGCTCTTAAAGGCACAGGGATCCCTCTTCATGTGTATCTGTTTACATGGTAGCGTGAAAGGAACTTACAGGAAAATAGTACAAGATTTGGCATGAATTCAGATCTGATGAGCAGAAATTCCTTATTCGTATGTGTCATCGTAGCAAAATCTTTCTCTTTAAACAGAAAGAAAATGATTTGATCTCGGTCCCTTTACCCTCTCCTCCTCAGTCTTTTCAATAACCTCTTGCCTTTCTGTCCCTTGACTCTCTTGTGATCAGTGGCTTCCAAATCCCTTTCAAGCCCCCTTTCTATCCCACAAAATTGTGTGTGCATGAATTTTGACTTTGTACAGATAGCTAACCTAGAAGACAGATTTATGTACCTTTCATTTTTTTCTTTAAAAAAGAGTATGCTGTATATTTAAAGAAGAAACAAAGGATCTATGTAGATGGCTATTGATTTTAGACATTAAAAATATTATGAGCTGTAGCATCCCTTTGGAAAGGTCCAGAAGAAAAATAGGTAGACATTGTAGTAAAACCAACAAAGTTGAAACTGGGG